ATATATTATATATATTCTATATTTTTTTTATGCATATATGCATATATGTTTGTGTTTATTGTTAGATGTATGCTCGCACAGGACATTGTGTGAAGCACTATGCGCTGACAGCTACAAGTAAGCGGGGCGGTCATATAACGGAATGATGATTCTGGTGTGCTGGTTATCGCGGCAGGTATATTTGGTACTGTATGGATATTGGTTACCTGCATTCACGCCCATGACCGCGCATTGTCGCCACGAGGATGATATACATAGACCTTGTGCGTAAAATAACGACGAGTTCAGTGTATTTCAAATCGATGACACTGGCCGTAGTGTGGTATTAGACTGATTTTCCACATGGTTGGCAGAGCGCGACGGCTCTGCATTGGAGCACAAGGATGACAACAATCACAGGCGCCGCACTGAAGTATTTAGCTAGACTGTGTCTTACGAAGACATAACTGAGTTTTACATATACATATACATATCATTATGTTACCTAATTATTACCGAGTTATACACATACACACACACACATATATATATCATTTTGTTACCTGGTTCATTTGTAGTCACAACTAATCACATTTTCTCATCATCCTATTTTCTAGTTTTTTCCATATCTCAATTTGTCTTTTATCCTAACTTTTCATTCCACCTTGGTTTTATAATATGTGCAGCCGCTCGCGAAGAAACAGACAACGAGCGCAGGGTGCCAGGCGGTCGAGAAGGGCAACTACAGAGGTTAACTACAAGGAGACAGAGTAGGCCGAATCCTACGTCATACGCGAGGCAGTTCTGTACTGGGAATGGGGGTTATTTGTGAGTTTCAGTTAATCACGCAATGAGAGGGAGACTGAGTACATGTAATCCGACGTTATACGACATGTAGATGTCGTATGGGGCGTGAGGCGAACGGTTTCAGTGGACTACACACAGGTCGAGCATCACTAGAATCCGACGTGGTTTGACAGTCCAATTGTCGTATGCGGGCTGGAGGAGGAATGGTCTATATTAAATTGGGCGAGGTTGTACTACGAAGGTTATGTGTTTGAGAAGATACAGGGATTACAATCTCAGGGAGATGGTGTGAGGCGAATGTAACATCGTACGGATGGCATCAGTCTTAGTTTATGACGATGCCTGGTCACAAATAAAGGGGACGGGTGTACCTACAGTGTACTACAGAGATAATAAGAGTAGAGTAGAATGTCTTTGTAGGTATTGCGCCGCCAGAGCCGCCGGACAAGCATATGTTTCTCAGCTTCAAGCTATAATGGGAGCTATAAATCCGAGACTATATAGCAATATACTATAGTATAGGTACCTGGAGATAAATCACGCGCACTGACAGGATGTCGTACGAGTGCGGATCGTCCAACGTACGGTTGTCTTCCAAAAGCATGTCACAATTTATACACTGAGGTCAAACAGGAATGGTCTAAAAACCCTGAAACCATAAAGAGTGCGCCGTCTGGATGTAGTCGATGGGGGCTGCATGCCAATTATAGAACTCGTATCGCAGAGTAGAGGGCGAGTGTATTCAACAGCTCGAATGTTAAGCACTATACAAAGACGAACTATTGCGAGAAAGGCGGGAACTGGCGAACAATAATCAGAGAGCGTATCAGCGCGTCTGCAATGGAGCGAGTGGATGTAAAACAAGGAGTATGTATTGATGGCTCACACTAAGGTCACTCTAAGGTCAATTATGAAGACTGTTTATACTGAACGCTATTTGTAGTAGTAGGCCAGTGTCAGTCATTCGGAGGTGAGCTTATATTCTAATTATATAGCATACACATCTAAACTATCCAGCACACCAACCAAAAGGAGTACAAATTCAAAAATGGACTGGTTTGTCCCCAAGGGCGGATACCTCTTGGCGATTAGATATCGTATACAGGAGCACATGTATAGTCACGAATGACTGGAGTTGTCCCGTTAAATTGAATATGATATCTAAACGGATGTCCATTTCATTAGAGGAATCGCATATAGGTTCATCGTGGTGAGAGGAGATATGCAGTGCAAGTGACGTTGCATTTCCCACTCAAAGTGGGTCAAAAGAAAACCGACGCTACCTTCACGTTGAACGAGGAGATAAAGAAAACTGGGTCGGATTATGGACACTGGAAGGGCATACGTATCAAATAGTGCATCCAATTTCTCGGTCAGCATCACTTAAATATAAACGTATTGAATGCTTTTTCTTTTAAATGTTTGAGATTGGCGTTGTATCCCGAATGTATGTGAAGGCCAAATATGTAGATACACCGCATATATCAGGAGATATGCGGGAGGATACGTGGAATATGAGCAGATGGGGAGGATTAGTGGGTGTATATGTAAACTATTGCAGATAATCGTATCGTGTATATGGTCTATACAATATGTTTCCAGGAGGTCTGCAGAAATAAAGTATTAAGCGATAGAGGGTAGATACAAATAATCGCATACGTTATTTGCACACTGCTGTCCCACATGTGTCCGGATAGAATATCGGATAGACAATAATTTACGATATATGATTGCAAATGATTGATATATTCTGTTTTCGATACCAGGCCCTGATAATGACTATTTCAAAGGGACTTAATTGAGGTGCTATCTATACTTTCCCCATGACCTGCTTTTCTGATACTACCGGTGGATACAAAGATGGATTTTCGGGTGTCATTGCATACATATCCGTGTACGCAGATAAAGCATATGCAGGTGCAGACGCCCCGGCTACCTCAGAGGGTGGTGCATTGGGCATTGTATCCTTCTCGTTCTTGGCAGGCGCTTGATACGCGACACTCTCATACGTGGGAGGTGGTACGAATGCAGGCGGTGTGTTAGATACAAAGGCTGGCATATACTGTGGTTGCCATTGCACAGCTGCAATCTCTGACGCCAGCGGAGCGTAGGGGGCGGACAGCAGTTGTTGAGTCTGTGCCCGCGAGTCAGTTAAGGTGACTGGGAGTGATGTCTTATAATCCGAGGCATTTGGGATTATTAACACTACGTTAATATGGTAGAGTACGTCAAAAATGTACCCGCGGGATGTGGAGCAGAGATGCTCTGGGAAAGGGAAAGAAATGTTCTTCATGAACTTCTCACCGGCAGGGATTTTAACACCAGTAGACGTACGAGCCTCCCTTGTATTACCGCGGTTAGTCCCTGATATCAACAGATCGTGTTTCAGATTCACCTTGACTTCTCTGATCTTTGACTTGCAATGCGAATTGTCAACCTCGATCAGCAGATTCACACCTCGACCCTCGTTCTGTGTGCCCTCATTGCCAATGAGATCGTACGTGTCCATGCATGTCACCTTCATAAAAACTCGCCCGCAGTCTTTAAATAGCCATCGCTTAACGCGGTGGTTGTCTTCTTGCATTACATTACCTAGTCGCGGTCTCGTTGGGGCCTCGCGCACCATAAATTCTTGTTGGTGACGGAGATCAGACTTCGACCACCCGGGAACATATAAATGGCATTTCACCTTGTACGTTCTATTAGCTCTTGACTGACCTATTTTGTCTCTGCACGATGGAGGTAGTCCATGGGGTAATAGCGTTTGGATTGGAAATGAATACTGGCCGGGTTGTAGATACACAGAGTCGTCAAATTGGTGCATCATTACTTTTTGTTTGAAGATTGTATGCTTGTCGTATATAGTTTCGTAGTAAGACTCAGTTCTGCGGTTACCGTTCATGTCGGTAGTTTCCCTTGTGCGCTCCTTTTCGTACTCCGTGCGTTCACTTCCTTTCACTGTCAGGTGCAATGCCTCGCACTTTACTGGTTGTGTGATAACCACACTGACAGATCCCGATACTACCTGACCACCTGTGTAGCAAACACGATCGGTCTGGATTCTCACTGAATTGTTGTTGCCCATTGTTGTATATGTTTGCTGTGAAGTTGTGAGGTTGTAATGTTGTGATGATGTGATGTCGTGATGTTGTGATGTGAAGAAAGTATCAGTAAATCAGAAGTATATATATGTGTTTTTCTGAAACTATGTGAGCAATAGTTTTTAGATTTGATCTGTTCCTATGGTTTTCCGAAACATCACAAGGCCATAGGCTGAAATTTGAGGCAAAATCACAAACATTGGTTGCGTTTGTAGGCATAGCACCAGCCTCCATTGTCTCCATAGTGTACAATAGGTCAATAGCATCTTGAAAATAGAACTTATGCAAATTATTTACAAAACAAAAGTTAAAAAAACAAAACAAATTAATTGTCATCTTTCGACTCGGAGACGCGGAGTTGGGTATTTTATTTAAAAAAAAAGTAGATATTCTGAAATTGTACTCATCATGTAGTGATACATGCAGTCATACAAATATGTAATGACACATAAATCATAAATGTGAGAAAAAAATATGAATGGACTCCGATACTCCGTGTTTCACTTTTTAGCCAATTACTTGTGAATTCCAGAGGCTCTGGGAGGCTTAGAGCAGTTGAGGATGATAAGTCATGAGTTACATGGTGATGGACCTCCACAGCGAGAGTCGAGACTCGCTCACTGATCACTCTCGAGTTGCATAAGGGCATCACTCATCTCGTCTCTCAGTCTCTGACTCTCTGTGAGTGTGTGTTCTGTGTAGCGGGGCTGGCTGTGGCCTGTGGGCCTGTGGGCCTGTGGGCCTGTGGCTGTGGGCCTGTGGCCCTGTGCCCTGTGGACTGTGTGGTGCCTGGCAGTACATGGCTATGTAGTATGTACTATGTGCATAAATGTATGTAAGTTGCAACGAACTCCTTTATACGGCACTGGTGACAATAAAATTATTAACCACCTCAGGCCCAGTTTCCTACCAGTCTCATACATACTTTTCGAGTTTACTTTGCTTTTAAGATGTAATTAGCGTGATGTTCTTTGTCGGCCTCAGAGGAGAGGTCGACGTATGTTAGACACGAATAGTGTCAGCTGTAAATCTATGGGCGAATCCGAAGCAATAACTAAGACAGAGGACGCCTATATACATGTGTCTAACTGTTAACATATGTCAAGCCCTTAAGACCGACAAAGACCTAACATAAGTGCAACAAATGGGTTGTACCCGCGCTACAATATCTAACATTTAAGTCGAGCGCTTTTAGCCGACAGATAACAAACAAACCGGCAGAAAACAAACACATCTCACAAGAAATTAAAATCACGCTAATTATATTAATACACCTCTATTTAAAAAAATTAATCTAAAAAAAGTACAAGTATTTGACTGGTAGGAAACTGGGCCTGAGGTAGTTAATAATTTTATTGTCACCAGTGCCGTATAAAGACATTCTATGTAAATAGTAAATATTGTAGCAACAGAGCAATTTTGCAAGAAGTCGCGACCGCAGCTGTCTCTTATGTTTCAGTTTTTAACTTTCAAAAAAAACAAACCAGTTATCATATCACCTGGGGCTGGTTCTAGTGGCATACAGTTTACCCAAACAAGAGAGAACTTTTCGCTATTACGACATGTTGTTTTTAATAAAAGAGTGACCGTCGGAAACTACTTCGCCATGGGTCTATGACGAGTTAAAACATCAGTTAACGACATGTTCGGACGACGTCTTGTATTAATATTTTTAACAGTCAAAACGATCAGAATTCAGAAGTTGACTCAGAACTCCAGGGCTCAGGAGTCAGAACTCAGAAGTCTGATAGACGTCAGGATACTGTCCTAAAACCCTAAAAAAAAAAACATACATATTTATCGCGTAAATTCGAGACGGGTTGCAACTTGGAAACTCATTTTACTGTTTTAAAAAAGAAAAGAAAAAAAGACTTGTGATATGTGTATAAGTAAATACCAGATTACCAGGCCTCCTCTATCGAGAATTGTTAAGATTCCGATCACTATGACTGCGACCGGGTCTTGCGACCACTATGCCTGCGACTCTCGCCTGCGACCCGTTTTATGTCTGACGCTTCTACTTGCGATTCTAGGGTTTTAGGATTTTAAGGTTTAAGGGATATAAACAAATACATATATCATAGCCCCCTGAAAAAGAAGAGATCAGTTGTTGATTATTCAGGGGCTATGAATATATACAAACATACATATATATATACATACATATATACATATATACATATATACATATATTTGTA